TAAAACTGATGTGATGTAGAGACTTGGGGGAAAAAACAACAACTTATTTTTGATAAGCATACTAAACAAACTTTTGAAAGACCGTACTTTGACATATTGGATAGTACCCACTAGAAATGAATATTCAGCCTTCTACAAGCATCATTTATTATAATTTTAAAAAAATCTTTGGTTTTTCAGATAAGTGTCTTAAAAGGATGTCAGGTGAAAACTTTTCCACTGTATCTGTTTTTTCCTGAAGAAAAGGGCCCATTGCTTTCAAGAGATTTTTCCAAGGGATCTGATGTAAAAGAAGTTAAGAAATGATAGTCAAGAAGATTCTCTGAAAACCACATGATCATATCATTAGATGCAGAAAAAGCTTTTGATAAAATCCAGCACCCCTTCTTGATAAAAACCCTTGAACATCTAGGCATACAGGGAACATACCTCAAAATAGTAAAAGCCATCTACGAGAAACCCACAGCCAGCATACTCCTAAATGGACAAAAACTGGAACCAATTCCCCTGAAAACTGGAACTAGACAAGGATGCCCACTCTCACCCCTCCTGTTCAACATAGTATTGGAAGTCCTGGCTAGAGCAATCAGAGAAGAAGAGGCAATCCGAGGTATTCAAATAGGAAAAAGGAAGTCAAGTTATCTCTCTTTGTAGAAAGGTTAATTCCAAATGGATCAGAGACCTAAATGTAAAACCTCAAACCATAAGAACCTTAGAAAAGGAAGGAAATAACCTCATGGAAATCGGAACTGGCATCCAATTCCTGTACAAAACCCGAAACCCACAGGTCATAAGAGAGAAGATAGACAAGTGGGACCTTATTAAACTGACAAGCTTCTGCAAAGCCAAAGAAGCCATCAAGAGAGCAGGGAGACAGCCTACAGACTGGGAAAAAGTATTTGCCAACTCTAGGTCTGACAAAGGCTTAGCATCCTGGATCTACAAGGAACTGAAACGTACTGAAAAGAAGAAAACAAACAACCCCATTATAAAATGGGCAAAAGATATGAGCAGACACTTCACAAAAGAAGACATCCGAGCAGCCAACAAACACATGAAGAAATGCTCAACCTCACTAATCATCAGGGAGATGCAAATCAAAACCACACTGAGATACCACCTAACCCCAGTCAGAATGGCAATTATCAACAACTCAAAAAATGACAGCTGCTGGAGAGGGTGTGGTGAAAAGGGAACACTTCTGCACTGTTGGTGGGATTGTAAACTAGTGCAACCTCTGTGGAAAGCAGTGTGGCGATTCCTAAAGCTCTAAAAATCGACCTTCCATATGATCCCTCAAATCCCCTACTGGGAATATACCCTGAAGAACTCAAATCACTCTATAAAAAAAGATACCTGTACACGTATGTTTATCGTAGCGTTGTTCACAATAGCAAGAACCTGGAAACAACCATGCTGCCCATCAAAAGAGGACTGGATTAAAAAAAGTGGTACATATACATGATGGAATACTACGCAGCCATAAAAAAGAAAAAAATCATGAATTTCGCAGCAACCTGGATGGAACTAGAGTCTGTAATACTGAGTGACCTCTCACAGAAACAAAGATCCGAGTATCACATGTTCTCACTCATATAATGGACCTTGAACATCCAATGTAATACTATAAGAAAATGACTGACGGTACTGGGAAACTATGGCGGGGTGGGATTAACAGTAGCAAATATCTGTCTGGGGATGGGAAAACACCTCTTATCAACAGGGTGCCTGAATGAAACGTAATTGTACACCTAACCCTTAACTGTACCCCATAAAACCATAATAAAAAATATTGATTAATTAAAAAAAAAAAAGATCCTCATTCAAGAGGTACCCGCCTAATACCCAACAGAAAGGGATATTTTTACTTCTCAAGACACAGAGAAGAATCTGAACAAGCCTTGCTAAGTTCCCCTGCTCCTGTCCAGTTTATTACAAAAGATCATATCCCCACTCAACTGTGCTTCTCCATAACTATCCACTTCTTCACTAAACTTAATATAAAAATACACAGATTTCTCTACTTCTTTGGACATTTATTTCCGAAGGCTCCTGTTTCACATAAAACTTATATTAAATAAATTTGTATGTTAAAAAAAATAATAGATTCTTTGAAAAATAAAAGTCCAACTCCAGTTATTTCAAATGGAATTACTCTTTGCTTTTTATAAATTTTCTCAAAATATTTTTGTTATTAATTTATGTAAAGAGTAATAAATATTCTGTCTTTGAAAACTATAAAATATCTAGGAATAAACTTACCAAATAATGTTCTAAGGCCTGTATTATATAAAATATTAATCTTTACTGAAGAACTTTTTTCATTTTAAAATATTTAACTGGCAAAAGTTGAATATATCCAAGGTTAGCATGATGATTTGATATACATATACACTGTATAATAATTGTTACACTCAAATTAACACATTAATCACAACCCATGCTATACAAGGGGGGACCCAAAGCAACCTGAGATTTATTTGTAAAAAATTTTTTATTCTTACATGTTTAGACTTCAGTCACCTTCAAAGTATTCTGCATTTGATGAAATATACCCATCAAGATGCTTTTTCCACTGCTCAAAACAGCTTTTGAACTTGTTAATTTTTATGCCTTTTAGTGCTTCTGCAATTTTTTGTTTCACTTCTTTCAGATCAGCAAAACGTTTCTCTTTGAGAACTTTTTTCATCTGGGGAAACTGAAAAAAAATCACTCTGGGTGAGATCTGGTGAATAAGGAGGGTGGGGTACAGGGGTCATGCCATTTTTGGTCAAAAACTACTGAACACTCAGCACAGTAGTAAATCACCCATCATGAAATGCGCAAATGCGTTGAAAAAAAAATCGCTGAAACTGAGAGTGACCTCTCACAATGCTAGCTAGTGAACTGATGCCCATGGGTTCCTAGAATACTTACCTAGCCGGGGAAGCCTGTCCTCCAAAAAATAATTCCAGTTTTTTCGGGTCCCCCCTCTCGTACATTAGATCCTCAGAACTTGTTTGTCTTATGACTGAAGGTTTGTACTCTAATTAACATTTCCCCATTTACTTCACTTTTAGTCCCTGGTAACCACTGTTCTACTCTTTACTTCTATTCTGGGTATATATCCAAAGGAAATGAAATTGGTATCTTGAAGAGATGTTTGCACTTCCATGATCATTGCAGCATTATTCACAATAGTTAAGATTAAGAACAACCTAACTGTCTATAGATGGATAAATTGGATAAGGAAAATGTGCTACACACACACACACACACACACACACACACACACACACACACACACCACACAATGGAAATGGTACAGTATATCGTTGACTTTCTGGATGGCAGTTTATTAATACTATCAAATATTAAAACATCTATACTCTTTAGTCCAGAAATTTCACCTCTAAGAATTTATCTTGAAGAAACATCACAAGGATATATGGTCCCAGTTGCATGTAAATGAATGCTAATTTCAGCATTATTTATAATTGCCCCTCTTCTCCAGAAAAGGGAAGCAACCCATATGCCCACCCACAGGGTTCCTCAATGGAGAATTTGTTAAACGAATTGTGGTTGCAGCCATTATAGAATACTAAACGAAACTATGCAGCTATTTTAAAAAGTAGATCTATGAGTATATAAAGTAATTTAGAAACATGTCTGTGAAATGTTGTTAAGCTTTTAAAAAATCAAATCTCAAAATAGTATGTATTGTATGTAACTAACTAAATGCAAATGTTTGTAATTTATTTTTAAATTTAAATTAAAATATTATTGAGATTATAGTTTGGAATCTATTCTGTAACCTTTTATTTTCAATTTAGCGGTTCACCATGGATTTCTATCCATGCCATTGCATATACATCTACCTCATCTTTTTTGATAGATCAATAAATATTAGTATTCCATTTGTTTTTAAAATGTATGCTTATATGATAATGTATACATGAGAGTAAAAATTCAGAAAGAATATCCACATAACTGTTAACAAAGGATTATATCTGGGAGGAAGAGGGCTTTCTTTATACTAGTGCATTGCTTAATTTTTTAAGTGTATGTATGTACTTAGTAAAAACAATAAAAACATTTTTATTTGAAGAAGAAAATACAGTTTTTTTAAAAAATGTATTTGTAGAAATTATATCCTGGAAAGCCCCTCAAAACAGCTTTACAATGTGAAAAATTAATAGCTATTGTAGTTACTCTAACAATAAGGAACAAAAAAAAAGTGGGAAAATAATAGATAGAAGAAATCAGAAGGTTATCAAAGGAAAAGAAATTTGAATGAAAATAACAGTAATTTTAGGAATTTAGTCATCAACCCAGGCTCTGCTTTAGTGTGTTTATAGTTCAATTTTTATTTTATTTTTTCCTCTCAAAAAGAATATTAGTCTCTGGGTAAATTTGTTGATGCTTTTTATTTTTTTTTATGAATGAAGAAAACACCATGCAAATTTAATCAAAAACATTAACTTTGTAGCATCTTAGGATATTATTTTCTCAGTTGGTTCGTTATTATTTCAAACTATTTTTCACAAAATTCTGTAAATAGACATTGTTTTCACTTATATGAAAATACCATGTTGTATACCTTAGATACAATTTTGTATTTGTCAATCTTACTTCAATAAGCTGGAAAAATAATTTTAAAATAATAAAATAGACATCATTTTAAATTTGTATGTTACAGTGTGAATGGAGATTATATATTTTTATAGCCTTTTACACAAGGCAAGTAATTTTTTATTTAAGATTTGAGAAATGGTGCTTTGTGTTATGTGATCTAGAGATTTATATGTTGATTGATTCTAACCTGGGTGCACATATATAATATGTGGCAATTTAAACATTTTTTATTTTAGCTTTTTTTAAAAAATTTTTATTTTAAATATGTGGGATACAATTCAGGGTTAGGTATACAAATGTTCATTATGCAGGTACCCTTGTTGATGAAGTGTGCCCCCCAACTTTTTAAGATATATGTTATTTGACTTACTTTTTGTTTTAACTAGGTAACCGGGAAAAAGGCATATGCTACAAGCCAGGAAATTTTTGAAGCAGTTAAATCATTGTGGATGAAAGGCAACAAAAACGAGTCACTTCCTGAACCTAAAGAAAAAGCTAAGGTAGAGTTTAAATGGACCAAAAAGATGGACATTTAGTTTTGTTTGGATAGGTGTTGGCTAGTAATGAAGGTACTGGACAGACGTTAAAGATAGAATGACAGTAGTTGAAGGAATATGGCATAATTTAGAATATTTTGTTTAATAAAATGTTTACTTATGAAGTAAAAATCTTTTTGGTAAACAGCTAGGAAACACTGCTGAAATAGAAATACCTGCAAAAACAGCTCATGTCCTGAACCACTCAGTGCCTTTGCCAACAGAACTCAGCTCTGAAACAAAGACCAAATCAGAATCTACCTCAGGTTTGTTTGGAATAATTCAATTTTGTTTTCATTCTTTTCTTAAATAATTTGATAGATTATAATTAGTAGTTTAGACTTATAGATGTATTTTCTTCATAAATGTTTTGCCTTTGTCATATATGTAATTTGTATTTCTTCTTAGGTTATGGTGTATTTAGGTACCTGGGATTTTTTTAAATTGTCACATAGTTCATAATACAGAGTTTTGATTGTGGCAGTATAAGTAGCATTGACAGGTTGATTGAGTGAAGTATTTAATATCACTTTATAAATGTAAGCTATTTTGCTAGGTGAGGTAAAACGTGCCTTTCTGACTTCTAACAATTTACAGGTCTGAGTCACACCTGCATAAAGAAATATGAGCTTCTATTTCTTATGCCATTTACCTGTCAGTCTCTTTGTTGCTCGTGGTTTCCACCATCCATAGTTTTATTAAGTTTAGGTACCAAGAGAAATAAATTATGCTATTCAGTCTTCACTCCCAATGCAAAACAAAACAAAAAGCTCTGCTGATCAGTAATTATTCTCATTTTCTGGTGAAGAGACTGAGACTCAGGAAGCTGAAATAACTTGCACCAAATCATACAGATTGTGAGTAGCAGAGCTGTGTTTATAGCCCAAATCTTCGTGACACCAAAGTCTAAGCACTTTCCATTGTGTATAGAATATCTACTTTAAATAAAATTTAGCCTCTAATCTCATTAGCCTCCTCTCTCACTTAATCTTTATAAAAATTATCAATGAATAACAAATCTGATTTGAGTTTTATTGTTTTCCTCTATCACCTCTCCTTTCTAATCAAGACAATTTATGCAGTTTTTAGATTCTCTCTGAATAATCCAAAATTGACCATATTCCCACAAGAATATAATGTATCTGGTCATTTTTCTAAATGCCTGTCAATTCAAGAGTATCTTTGTGAAGATGAAACATTCTGCAGCTTAACAGTGGGGCCAAAACTATCTCTAACTAATGTCCTCGCACATCTGAATTCTGAAACCCTTTATCCTCACCTGTCTTGGATGAGGCAATATATGAAAAGCATTCTAATGAGACATGCTGAGGGAGAAAGACATGCCAGTTTACTAAACATTATCATATATGTCTTAGTTTGGGCTGCTATAAAAAATGACATAGAATGGGTGACTTATAAACAACAGAAACTTACTTCTCACAATTCTAGAGACTGAAAGTTTGAGATCAGAGTTCTGGTGATAGCCTCCTTTTGGCATGTAGACAGGCTACTTTCCCATTATATCCTCATATGGCAAAGAGCAGAGGGAAACAAGCTCTCTCTGGACTCATAAAGGCACTAATCCCATTCATGAGGGCTCCACTCTCCTCACTTCATTTAATCCTAATTACCTATCAAGGCTCCACATCCTAATTCTATTACATTAGGGATTAGTGTCACAGCATGTGAATTTTGGGAGGACACAAGCATTCACTCCATAACAGTTTATCCTTCAGAGTTGATCATATAGTACACCCTTGGGGTTTATAATTTCTGCATTTCATGTGTAATCTAATGAGAAACAGTAAGGATTGTGAACACAGGTTTTATAATAAGACTTTAATCTAAATCCTGGATCTATGACCTGGGGCAAGTTACCAATGCCTCAAGCCTCAATCTCCTCATTCATAAAAGGGTGACAATATAGCACTCATATGGTTGTTGTTAGGATTAAATGAGATACTTCATGCAAAGCTCTAACAATAATGTAAAGCACATACTAAGTGATCAATGAGTATTTAAAGATATCATTGTTATCATTTGCCCAGAGTAATCTGCCAGTCTGCTGATAAGCAAATTTTCATTTAGCACACTTTAAAAGCAAGTCACTTAGCTAGTGAGCCTAGCCATGGTGACTGCTAATCATCATACAGAATAGATTGGGTATACTGTGCAACTATATGTTGTGGCTCTGAATATGAGTTTTGTTGTTCTCTACCACCCTATAAACATTTATGGTAAAAGTTATGTTATTTGGAGAATCACAAATTTAGAAGTCTTGCCTCATGGACTTCTTCAAGAATCTGATGAAAGCAGATGGAATCTCTTACAGTTTTATAAAACTAATGTCCTCTAAAGCAGGGGTTGGCAAACTAGCCCAGTGCCAAATCTGGCTCACTGCCTGTTTCTGCAAGCCAACAGTGGTTTCTACATGTTTTAGATGGTTGAAAAAATCAAAAGAATACTATTTCTTGACAAGTGAAAATTATATGAAATTTAACTCTCAATGTCCATAAATAAAGTTTAGTTAGAACATAGCCACACTCATACATTTACTTATTGTCTATGACTTATTTCACACTATAATGGTAGAGTCAGAGTTGTGACAAAGACCACATGATCCACAAAGTCACTAATAAAATTACTCCTGGTCTTTTATAGAAAAAAAAATTGTCAATTCCTGTTTTAGAGAGATGGAATGTGCCACATATATATGTGACTCATCTCCCCCCTCATAATATTTGCCAGACTTTTTGTGGATTAGGAGACTAAATAGCCAGTCTCAAAACCTCTGAAGGGCAAAACCAAATTTCCTACAGCTTTTTAATGCTGAAGAAACAGTCTAATGAGATTGTCGATCAGAAGCTTGGGAGTACCATACCTAAAAAACAACAGGGAGGAACTAGAGGTTGACTGACTCTTACTAAACCTAGAACCCAGCCCAGACTTAGCTGAATGTCATCCTGATTTTATACACAAGAAAGAAAAACAGAATTTCTAACAATCCTAACTTCACCTAGCACTTAGTGGTCTGTCCTATCTTTTATACCTAACTTGCTTAAAATATCAATGAAATAATATGTGTGAACTAAGTTATCAGTGAACAGATATTACATAATGGCTATTTGAGGCAATAATTCATTGCTGCCTTCTAACTTTAAACATCTTTATTTCTTTCCTATTTGTTATAACAAATATTTTTAAATTTTGCTATAAAGCCTTGAGCAGAAAATGTTTTTTATTAGAGATGAAAAATATGATAAAGTGCAAAGAAAAGCATCATAACCATTAGGGCATTCGGATTCAAAAATAGTTTTATGACAGCTCATCCTCTGGAACGATAAGAGAGCCCTTAATCAGCTTAAGGGGTGAAGAAGTTTCTAAGAAAAATATAATTCTTGACAATATAGAAATTAATACGGAAACATAAAGACCATGAATAGCCAAAACAATCCTTAGCAAAAGAAACAAAGCAGGAGGGATCACACTTCCAGACTTTACACTTTATTGCAAAGCTACAATAATCAAAACAGCCTGGTATTGGTACAAGAACCAATGGAACAGGATAGAGATTCTGGAAGCAAAGCCTCAATTTCTCAACCAACTCATCCTTCACAAAGCTTCCACCAACAACACTGGGGAGAGGAGAATCTATTCAGTAAATGGTGCTGGGAAAACTGGCTAACACATGCAGAAGATTGAAACGGGATCCCTACTTATCACCACACACAAAAATTAACTCTAAATGGAACAAAGACCTAAATGTAAAACCTCAAACTATAAGAATCTTAGAAAATGCAGGAGACACCTTTATGGGAATTGGAAATGGCAACCAATTCCTATTCAGAACCCTAAATGTCCATACCTTAAGAAATAAGATAGACAAGTGGAACCTCATCAAACTAACGAGCTTCCGCAAAACAAAAGAAACCATCAAGAGAGCAGGGAGACCGCCCACAGAATGGAAAAAATATTTGCCAACCGTGTATCTGACAAAGGCCTAATATCTAGGATCTACCAGGAACTCAAACACACCAAAAGAAAAAAAAAAACAGCCCCATTAGAAAGTGGACAAAAGACATGAATAGACACTTCTCAAAAGAAGATATATGGGCAGCTAACAAACACATGAAAAAGTGCTCAGCCTCACTTATCATCAGAGAAATGCAAATCAAAACCACATTAACATACCACCTTACTCCAGTAAGAATGACCATCATTAATAAAACAAACAGCAACAGATGCGATGATGCAGAGAGAAAGGAACGCTTCTACACTGCTGGTGGGAATGCAAACTAGTGCAACCTCTTTGGAAGACAGTGTGGTGATTTCTGAAACAACTAGAAATTGACCTTCTATATGACCCAACAATTCCCCTATTGAGAATATAACCAGAGGAACTCAAATCATTCTACAGAAAAGATACCTGCACATGCATGTTTGTTGCAGCTCTATTCACAATAGCAAAAACCTGGAACCAACCATGTTGCCCATTGAAGCTGAATTGGATTAAAAAAATGTGGTAAATATACACAATGGAATTTTATGCAGCCATAAAGGACGAACATGTGGACTTCGCAGCAACTTGGATGTATTTAGAGTCAATAATACTCAGTGTTCTATCACAGAAACAAAGAACAGAGTACCATATGATTTCACTCATAAGTGGACCTTGAACAATTATTATAATACTATAAGAAATGGATTGGCAAACTGTGAATCCCTAGTGGGAAACTGTCAGGGGAGGGGGGGTGGAATTGACAGTTGAGGGAAACTGCTAGGGGAGAGAGGGGCATATCTCATCAACAAGGGTACCTGTATAATCAAAGTTTGTATACCTAGGCCTGAATTGTACCCCACATCTTTATATTGAAAAAAAAATAAGCCAGGCTCGGTGGCTCAGCCTGTGATCCCGCGCCTTTGGGAGGCTGAGGTGAGTGGATTGCCTGAACCCGAGGGTTCGAGACCCGCCTGGGCAACTTGGCGAGACCTCATCTCTACAATAAATCAAAAAATCAGCCAGGCGTGGTAGTGCATGCCTGTAATTGCGGCTACTTGGAAGGCTGAGGTGGAAGGATCGCTGGAGCCCAGCAGGTGGAGGCTGCGGTGGCCAGGAGCAGCCACTGCACTCCAGTCTGGGCGACAGAGTGAGACTCCAACTCAAAAAAAAATAATAATAATAATAATAATAATTCTTAATTGCTCAGGAGACATGTGATGAAGCTTTTCTAAAAAGACAAATGACCTACACTAAATAGTTCTGAAC